AAATCCCCTCTGGAATACCGGGAAGGCCTCACCTGATGGAGCGGCAGGTGAAGAACACGATCCTCTTCAGCCTCTTGTTGTAGAAGAAGTAGTTGAAGGACCAGAGGCTCCCGTCCTCCCCGAACGGATCCGAGTCCAGGTCCGGGTTGTAGCTGCCCAGGGAAAGGTGGGAAACACCGGGATGGATGGGATAGATGGGATGGATGTGCCAAAAAAGAGGGAATGGGGAAAATCTGGAACGAGTCCCGGCAGCCACCCCAAATCCCAGCGGGACCGGGAGGACAGGGAGTCACAAACCTCCAAGCATGGGGGTCCCAATTCCAAAGGGTGGGAATAGCAGAGGGTTGGAGGGAATTCCAGGAAGTGGGAATTCCAAGAGGGTGGGAATACCAAAGCAGTGGGAACTCCAGGGGGTGGGAATTCCAAGGGATGTTCCCCTTCAGGGCAGCTCTGGTGATGCATCCCCACAACCCAAAACGCCCCTTTCCCGTGGGAAATCCACTCTCCCGTGGGAAACCCTCTCTCCCGTGGGAAATCCTCTCTCCCGTGGGAAATCCCCTCTCCCGTGGGAAATGAAATCCTCTCTCCCGTGGGAAATCCCCTCTCCCGTGGGAAATCCCCTCTCCCGTGGGAAATCCCCTCTCCCGTGGGAAATCCTTTCTCCCGTGGGAAATCCCCTCTCCCGTGGGAAATCCCCTCTCCCGTGGGAAATCCCTTCTCCAGTGGGAAATCCTCTCTCCTGTGGGAAATCCCCTCTCCCATGGGAAATCCTCTCTCCCGTGGGAAATCCTCTCTCCCATGGGAAATTCTTTCTCCTGTGGGAAATCCCATATCCTGTGGGAAATCCTCTCTCCCGTGGGAAATCCTCTCTCCCGTGGGAAATCCTCTCTCCCGTGGGAGATGCCCTGTTCCAGGAGCAGCATTCCCGTGGGAAGGGGTGGCACCTGTAGATGTCACACTCGGCCAGACAGATCTCCTCGTCCACCGCGTCCCACAGCAGCGGCTTCAGAGCCTTGAAATCCTCCCGCACCGCCGAGAACAGGCTGCAGTTCACCGCGTTCATCACCTGCCAATGGGAATGGGAATTACTGTGGGAATGGGAACGGGAATTGGTGTGGGAATGGGGAATGGGAACGGGAATGGGAAATGGGAATTACTGCAGGAATGGAAACGGGAAATGGGAACGGGAATGGGAATGGGAAATGAGAATCACCAAGGGAACAGGGAATCACCGTGGGAACGGGGAATGGGAATGACCCTGGGAATGGGAACAGGGAATTACTGTGAGAGAGGAATGGGAACAAGGAATGGGAACAGGGAATTGCTGTGGGAATGCCCTGTTCCAGGAGCAGCATTCCCGTGGGAAGGGGTGGCACCTG